CCCCCCCCCCCCCCCCCAAAAAAAAAATCTGGGCAAAGTCCTGTAAAGGTACACTGTCAACTTTTTTTCTAAATGGCCGTGCGATTGGAACGTTTTTTCTTTTTTTGTGAAATTATAAAACGGCTTCTTTGTTTTCTTCCACACACACACACACACACACCTTATTTATATCTTAAATGATAATGCATTATGAATTATTACCTACATCTATGGTGGCATATAATCACTAGCAAGCAACAACTGAAAAAGCTTGCGGTTAAATGAGTACAGACTAACTGTATTTTTCAGATCCAGTGGGAGATGATTCTATAAATGAGCAGCAGAACATGACAAGCTTGTTTTATTTATTCTAAGTTTTAGCAAATGCACAAAATTTAGAAGACAGTCAGTGAGCTAGCTACTTCGCCACTCTAGCGCTCAGTTTTAATACTGATGGCCCCAGTAAATTTCTAATTATACATATGTGTGTATGTTTGTCTTGACGTCCAACTGAGCAGTGAGTATCGGCCTCATCCTTTGATTACTTCACCTTGCACCATTAAATTATGTTGTCTCTTCGGTTCTCTGGCCTCTGAAACGATATTTGCAGCTTCGCATAAACATTATGTCGCTCTTTTTTTTTTTTTTATACTTTAGAATATTTTAACATTAAAAACAGAGATTGTATTTTGTATGACAATACCTGTTATCTTTTATTTGTTCTGGCATATTTAAATCAAGCTAGGAAACAAAGTAAAGGCCGAGGAGTTGTACTTGAAAGCCCGTGGTGCTTCTAGTAAGTACAAATATGATTCTAAATTATGCAACGCTGAACTCTTTTAGTCCCAAGCGAGACCCGATATGTAATTGGTTCTTCACCCCGAATCCCATTCAACACATAATGTGAGCACACTAAAGAAATAGGGCTTTTTCACAGTCCAGTTTGGATTTATTCTCTAAGATATCTGGCGATAATTCATGGGGTTATATCATTTCTAAGGCTCAAAAAGTTACCGGAAGCCTTAGATATGTAATACGTTTGACATCATTCGTTTCCGGACCGTCATATATTAATATTGTAACGACGACAGCGACGCGAAGTGAGGTGGGGGAGGAGGAAAAGAAGACAAGGAGGCGACTGTGTAAAGAGGATGATGTAGAAGATGCACCCGACTGAAGGAGAACACATACTTGCAACATCATAAGATAAAGAAACTGGTGTCATTATCGAACATTTAAGAAACATCAAAACTGGCAGTCAACACCAGCGCACTTTGGAAGATGATTATTAAAAAAAATATATAATACTGACCCCAAACCCACTGCAAATGGTGAACGATTATGCCATGAAACACCAAAAAGGATCCCTGGTGTTATCATAGAAGGTGACTTACCTTAAACACCATAAATAAAAAGTAAAAGTAAAGATCCATTTTCACGCCTTTAGGCGTAATGGGTATATGGGAAGAGCGCTCGTATTTTTACAGACCGTCGTCACCAGGTGGGTTATGTGGTCAGTATTACCTCCCAAGGACATACATCCCGGTACCCGTTTTAGGCTGAGTCTACCTGCGACGCCCCGTTCCATGATACAATTTCACGCAGCCAGCAGTGGGTTTTGATCACAGTACGTTGGAATTACGAGTCGGACTCGCATAACAAAAGCCCCAGACGTCGCTTTCACACAATAATCTACCTAAATTCTACTGTCCCCTCCTTCATCTATGTGCTACGCCCCATTGTTGGCAATGTGCAGTAAAAGATAATGTTTGTATATTTATAGTTATTTATTTATGTTTGTATTCAAATAGGATCTTCATGTTTAACTATATTTACATTGTACTGTATTTAAGAAAGTACATTATAAAATTTGAGTTTGTTGGACCCTGGCACAGATTAATTAGCTTTCCATAATTACCAATTGGAATAATTCTCTTGGAACTCGAACGATATGGAATTCCAACACTGTTTCAGAACGGATTACGTTCAAATTCCGAGGTGCAAGATTTGTCTTTCTTAATGTCTCTTGGACAGCCAAAAAAGAGCAACCAAGAGGTTTTAGAAGAGGCAGGAGCCCGAAGACAACTTATCATAGACATCAGAAGGTCCTTTTCGGCCATGTTATGAGAAGAGAGAAAATAAAACATGTTGTGACCACTGGAAAGATCTGTGGAAGGAGAAATAGAGGAAGACAACGAGAGAAAATTCCTGACAGTCGTGTTGCATGGCATGGAGGTGTGTCGGCACATGACCTGATACATGCTACAGGAGATCGCATTTTGTGGAGTTTTATGATCGCCCACGCCAGGCACCTGATGATGATGAATGTCTCTTTTTCACGACTCCAGTCTGCAGGCTCCACTCAGAAGAGATGCATGTACGCAACCTCGTTACTCAACTGTGTTCAAAAGGTTTGTACCACATGGTTTTACATTGAACATCTTCGTTGCCCAGCCAGTATGTTTCTTTTTTCTTGTTAACAGCTTTTTATCTTTACTAATTATTGACCAAGACAACCATGTTCGTCATGTTTTTCATTACGAAGCATCTTGATATTTCATATTTTATCTCGTGTATATTTTAAAATGGTTACTAGCTATTCAACCAGATTCACTTCTACAACTGGAAAAAGAACTTAAAATTAAGCCCATGATTCCGAAGACTCGCCAAACAGATGAGGATTTCAAAAGATTATGCCGCCTCCGAAATAAGATAAATCTGGTAATATGTTTCTCCTCAACATATTTAAAAAAGAAAAAAAAAACAGGAATAATGATATCAAATTTTGATAATTACGTAAATAACTTTATTACAAGACACTTTACAAATTATTAGTTTTACTTCATATACGACAGACAAGAGACTTTTGTGAAGGACTGATTAAACGGCTCACAGTGTGTGAGGTGGATGCTCCGGTCCGGACCATCGTCATCATAAAGATTAATTTGTGAAACGCCATCTTCATTCTTCTTCTTTTGCTGCTGCTTATTTTTGTTCTTCTTCTGCTGCTGCTGCTTCTTCTTCGTCTTCGTGATGATGCTGTACCTGCTTTCTGTGTGATGTTTTGCTAATACTGCAACCGCCATAATTACTTTGTCATCATAATAATATTGTCGCGTACATATTTAATTATACTACTTACGTGATTATTCCGTTAGTCTTCTTTCCTTAGAGTTCTTAAAGAGAATCGGAACTTACCAACTCACTCCAAACCGCTGAAAACTGGTTGTATTGTGCAACCTCCAATTTTGCATGATAACTCAGCTAATTTTAAAGTGTGAAAACCTTCAGCCTGAGATACCAACAGGCGTTCCTGAGCAATTCTGTTTCATCAAGGTCATTCTCAAATACCAGTTATTTGTAGCTTCACTACAAGGTCATTCTCAAATACCAGTTATTTGTAGCTTCACTAAACTTTGTGTGCAGAGCAAATGTGAAAAACGAAATACATAACGTAATTCAAAAAGAATTAAGTTAGTTGCTATGGTTACTGCTATGGTCTAACGGAGTTTTGTGGAAGCTGTAAAATACAATGCAATCATTAAAACATGTGTTGGAATTTTTAACTAGGGCCTTTCAGACATGACTGTACACGTCGCTTTATACACACATTTCTTCTGTTGATAATCCCATTCTGCCTTGAGTGCAAAGAACTACTAAAGCAGACGACAACCATTTACCGCATATTACTTCGGAACTGATTGTGGAGCACAATTTAAGATGACGTCGTGTACTTTGTTTTTTAATTTTGTTCCACCTACAAAGCTACGTTGTTTTATGTTGTTTAGTGCACGTTTTTCTGCTTACCCGTTTCGTGAAGCTTTTTAGTCATATTTCACTGGAATGACCTACAAAGTGAACTGAGGCTTGATCAACACAGGAGTATATTTGGTTGGAATAAATTACCATCAACAGCACCCATTGAATTTATTTAATTCGGGTTACGCGTGTGGAAAAAGCGGTGTGGTTGGAGCGGTGTGGGCAGAATTTTTACAAATTCGTTATATGTAATTGTACATTATCATCCACTTTAATGGACTCACGAGTTTAACTAAGTATCTATATAATATTCACAAACTCTTGACTGCAACGACTAGTGAAAGCGTGTGATTGCTAAGAAAAAAGATCTATATGAAATGGTTCACGCATCCCACCGTGGTATAGCTGGGGAAAGCTCGCCTGAAGACACGTAGTTCATGGGTTTAAATCCGAACGGAACGAGACGTTTTTCTTTCAAAAAATGACCTTGACTCTATGGCCGACCCAGTCTTAAATGATTACTGTGAGTAAGAAGTCTAACAGAGGACAGCATGCACATCAAGGGTCCACCGATCATCAGTAGAAAGATCCTTTGTCGTCGATTGTTTCGCCCCATTACTTCATATACAATTTCGGAAGGTGGACAGAATACAGCCACAGCACTCCCCAGAGTGTCAGCTATGTAACTGCCCTTTCGGGACTGTTGGGCACCATCTCTTTGAGTGCCCAGGGCTCAGCGAGACTAGAAAAATGCTACTCCCTCCGAGACCAGACAGGTGGAGCACCTTGTGCGGAGGAAGAGAACGGCTTGTGAACACATGTAAATTCCACTACATGGCATTGGGCCAAAGGGCGAAAGCTCATGCGCCTCTGGATCGATAACAACAACAACAACAACAACAACAACAACGGAGGGTGGGCCGACCTGGGTCAAGAAACAAGGCCTTGATCTTTCTCTGCCGCACTTAATTGACAGTGACAAGGTATAGTCCAGAGAAGTTTAGGCGACGGATGTGATGTTGACGATATAACTCACTGAGCGCCGATTGGTCTATAAAAGATACGCCTGACACAAAATGCCCAATACGCCTGCAAGGGTGGAAAAGAGATATATGCTTTACTTTACAAGCATCGTGTTGTCCGACAATTATGTGGCGTTAAAATTATTTTGTTAAGAAAAGATTAAAATGCCTTGAGGCTCGTCATTGTGAAACATCAACGAATTCCTTTCATGTATTATAATAATTTCTAAATGATATAAAATGTGTTTTCAGGAAACGTTTGATCCAAGGATATGCTGTCGCTATAAGGAAGGCATACTACCCTATTACAGATTTAAGCAGGAGCTTCTGTCTGTCACGCCATTTGTGACTCTTTTCTATGATGTTATCACGGACAAAGAAATAGACGCACTGATGCAAGTAGCCAGGGACAAGGTACAGCATTTCTGAGTTTTTAATGTGACTGCTTTCTCTTCTAGATAAAGTACAAAGGGCTGTCATGACGGAGAGCAGGATTCGAATCCTAGGTATGGTTGTGGATGTTAAATTATTTTTTTTATAAATGCTTATGTGGGGTAGGGGGGGGGGATAATTAAATTATAACCTGCCCAGTCCGTGGCTACATCACTAGCCAAGCGGCCTCGAAGCCTCGAACGTAAAGACCCCCCTTACCTACACAGGAATTAAGGCTAGTTTCGAAAGAAACAAGTCAATGAAGAGCATCACATTGTGGGTACCAAGAGCTGCATTTTGTGGGAAACAGGAAGGTCGCCGCTGCTTTGTCTGCCATGGATGTCACAAACGATGACTAACAAGTGGTGTTTTGTTTTTCTAAGTAGCAGTGCATCTGTCTGAGCTAGAGGAGTCCACATACACACACACATATGCATGTGCACGTATACCTAAAGGTTTTTAACTGGAGATCCTAGGCAGTTTGTGTCCTTGTGATATTCTCTCGAGGTCATACTGTTGTGTTAGAAAAAGACTGGTGGCATTACAAGCTAGATGTTGTTAAGGTCCATTTTGCACTCTTTAAGCAGACTATCAGTCTCCATCTTTCTCAGCATGCTTTGTGAGACTGTCCCCATTACGATATGTGTGTACGGCTAGTTGTCATGGCAACAGAAGGCAGCATTAAATGCCTCCGCCTTTATTCTCAGACTAGATGTTATGTTCTCATATGCCAGGCTTTGCTGCATTAAGCGACTTTCATTTATTCTTGTTATAAACCCCTATGCACTTCATTGGTATCTCAGAACAGAGCCATGTGTATATTTAATCATCTCAATTGGGAGGGAATTATATCAATCATGTGTTAACGTTCTGATTCTACAGCGTTCGCTGACCATTAACCGCATGATTGTATGTATGTATGTATGTATGTATGTATGTATGTATGTATGTATGTATGTATGTATGTATGTATGTATGTATGTATGTATGTATGTATGTATGTATGTATGTATGTATGTATGTATGTATGTATGTATGTATGTATGTATGTATGTATGTATGTATGTATGTATGTATGGATGGATGGATGGATCGATGGATGGATGGATCGATGGATCGATGGATCGATGGATCGATGGATGGATGGATGGATGTATGTATGTATGTATGTATGTATGTATGTATGTATGTATGTATGTATGTATGTATGTATGTATGTATGTATGTATGTATGTATGTATGTATGTATGTATGTATGTATGTATGTATGTATGTATGTATGTATGTATGTATGTATGTATGTATGTATGTAAATATGTATGTATGTATGTATGTATGTATGTATGTATGTATGTATGTATGTATGTATGTATGTATGTATGTATGTATGTATGTATGTATGTATGTATGTATGTATGTATGTATGTATGTATGTATGTATGTATGTATGTATGTATGTATGTATGTATGTATGTATGTATGTATGTATGTGTGTGTGTGTGTGTGTGTATGTATATATGTATGTGTGTATGTATGTATGTATTATATGTGTATGTATTATGTTTGTATGTATTATGTGTGTATGTGTATGTATGAGCATGCAAGAGTATGTGTAGGTATGTATATTTAGTGTGTATGATTGTGTTGTATAATATTATGTGTGTATGCATCTTTTCATTATTTTGTTTTCTACACATAGACATAGCGTGCATTATTGATAATATGCAGTGGTCTGAAAGTTGAGTGACCAAATAGACTTTCTCCTTCTGCTGCTGACAACACGTTCTCTTCGTGAGTCAATTTCTTGCAGTATTTCTCAAGTACAGTTGTAATTGTGTTTTCCAATGTTCACTATTTGATTCACAGTTATACAGAGGGACCTTCCAATTTCAAGGTTCTCGGGTCGTTCATAATTTCAGGACTAGTCATGTGTAAGTGTACCTTTTGTTATGTTACAATGTTACATTTCTATTCACACAAGAAACTGAACTTTTCAAGCACGCACTATAAAGAGCAAACCATTGTTATTGTTGCTTTGAATTTTCGTTTTTGAATCATCATCACGTGCCTTGCTGACATGCCTCTCTACAATCTGCGATGTCCTGCAGCATGTATCAGTTCGTGTGCCGACACACCTCCATGCCATGCAGCAAGACTGTCAGGAATATTCTCTCGTTGCCTTCCTCTATCCCTCCTTCCACAGATCTTTCCAGTGGTCACAACATGTTCTATTTCTCCTTTTCTCAAAGCACGGCCGAAAAATGATGACTGTCTCCTTCTGATGTCTGTGATGAGTTGTTCCCGGGCTCCCGCCTTTTTTCAAAACCTCTTGTTGCTCTTTTTAATGTAAATCATGCCTCAAAATATTACGAATTCAGATAACATTTTTAATAACTCATGCTAAATGCTACCAGCACATGCATTAATGCAGTGTTTAGAGGCGGTACCGTTGATCTCAAGATACTGTGTCCGAATCCCACTGGGCAGAGTTAGACACAAGAATTAGCATTGTCTCCCAAGTGGACCCAACGTCAGAGAAAATATCTTAGGCATTAAAGGCGGCTGGCGGGAGGTGCGAAAGACACTTTTATAGGCTAGTGGCGTCTGGGACAAATGATGGCAAACTGGTGTTTATAAATCATTCGGTGCGTGGAGTTTAATGTGGTCAACATCACACTGACTGCTTTTACTTCCCAGGACATTACTAGGCACACTTTTTAAGCTGGATCGACCCTGGCAACCACAGTCACCCTTTTTTCCTCTAAATTTGTATTCTATCCGAAGACCTTCTGGGGGGCTGATGGGCAATTGTCACTATGCCAGGGGTCTATTAAAAATGCTATCTTCAGCAGTCAATTGTCTCCACAGTGAGCGATGGCTGCATTGTATTTTCAACATGCTGTTTCTCTTCTCCTGGTTGTACACTCTATCAGACCATTGTTTGTCCATCGCTTGATGTAGCGTGCTCTGACTTTTATCGTTGTCTACCTCTTGCTCTATTTCCATCGACTTTTCCCTCTAGTGTGGTTTTTCCAGAAAGATGGTATGTCTTAATGTGGTCAAAACTTCCCCGTTGTTATTTTTCTTTCTTTTTCTTTTAGTAATGATCTTTTTATTCAGTTTTTCCATAGCTATGTATGTGATTCACTTTGTTTCCATGAAGAACGACCTATTCTTCTGTACATCTACAATTCCAGAGACTCAATTCAATTTTCTAGTTGTCTGTTTATTGTTCATGTTTCTGCACCCTAGAAAGGGGATGTCCCTTAGCTCTGCAGATTACAACGGTATTTGGAGGATGACCTGTGTGAGCACGTGCCAGGGAGATGTCTGGGATACACAGATACTAGGAGTACGTCAGAGATTTACTTATCGCCGTAATGACAACGGCTCGTTGACAGCTCAATGACAGAGTTGTCTATCTCAAACCCTCACTTCTGTCCGTTTTGTCCGGTCCACCGTTCATCTTGTGGTCAGTTAACAAATCCCTAAGAAGCAGTCCCCGATACAACATTATATGTGGTGGTCGTTAGTTGTTTTTTTTTTTTTTTTTACAAATCTGCTGAATAGCCGTCAGCCCCAATTATTATATGTATATACATAAATACATTTATGTTGATATGCAGCACTTTTCTGCAAGACTGGCAGTCACAAGACGTTGTAGGTCCCTTAAACATGCGGGTCGCAGCCATCACCAATCTCAACACTGGAAACTATATACCTGGTAGCTCTTACAGTGCCGAAAACTTTCAGGTATGACTTCTTCTTCTTCTTCTTCTTCTTCTTCTTCTTCTTCTTCTTCTTCTTCTTCTTCTTCTTCTTCTTCTTCTTCTTCTTCTCCTTCTTCTTCTTCTTCTTCTTCTTCTTCTTCTTCTTCTTCTTCTTCTTCTTCTTCTTCTTCTTCTTCTTCTTCTTCTTCTTCTTCTTCTTTTCTTCTTCTTCTTCTTCTTCTTCTTCTTCTTCTTCTTCTTCTTCTTCTTCTTCTTCTTCTTCTTCTTCTTCTTCTTCTTCTTCTTCTTCTTCTTCTTCTTCTTCTTCTTCTCCTCCTCTTCTTCTTCCTTTTCTTGTTCTTGTTCTTCTTCCTCTTTTTCTTCTTCTTCTTTCCCTCCCTTCCTTCCTTCTTTCATGCTTTCGTTCTTTCCTTCCTGCCTGTCTGCGTGACTGCTTTCCGTACTTTCTGTTTTTCCTGCTTTGTCCTTCTTCCTTCCTCTTCTTCATTTTTATTTTCTCCAACGACATGTGCGGAAAAAAAAGAAGGGGTGGGGAGATGGGGCGAGCGTTGGGAAGGGGCACTCTTGAGAATCCCATGAAAAATTTGATCCTTGTTTTAAATGTTGTTCTTGATGCAGTCGTTCCATCTTCTATGTGCTTTTCTCTTACATACTTTTTCAGCGTGTCTGTGGTAGTTGATATAGAGCAGCGGCTCTCAACCTATGGGTCTTGACCCTTTTGGGCGTCGAACGACCGTTTCACAGGATGTCGCTAATGACCATCGGTAAACACATTTCACTGAAGTGCGAAGTAACAACACGAGCAACTGTATTTAAGGGTCACGGAATTAGGAAGGCCGAGAACCACTATTGTAGCGCATTATCGTCAGATGGTCGAACTATCTCAGATGTTATTCTCTCTGAAACTTTATGACTGGTTTCAGTGCTAGTCTTATTATAATTAGGTATGATCTATAAAGGCTTTCCTAATCTCGCTAGAGAACGAATTTGGGCCTTTGAAGGTGAATGTTACAGAAATATTCTCAGAGTTTCATTGACTAAGAAAGTACAGACATTGGTCACGATCTAAAAAGCGATGGAAACTTGCTCATAAACAGTATTGTGCAAAGTCCTTGGACAACATAATCTAACTGACGGGTTGGGTAACTCATAGAGAGCGTCTTTTCTCAAAACTTAATACTACAGCCATATTACTTGCCATACTAGTTTGAAAACAAATGAAATGAAAAATATGACTCCTAGAAAAAGAGGCCTTTGCCAACAAGCAGAATATGCTTACATTATATCACTGACGAGTTTGGTTGGCCTTAAAAGTTTACAGAGTGGATTTTCATGGTGAGAATTGCGCTCTACACAAAATCTCCAGGTTGCGGTAGGGGGGGGGGCTTGGGGGGGGGGGGGGGGGGGGGGTTAGTCCCCTATAACTCACAGGTGGTCGGGGCTCAAGGGTCCTAAGATCCCATGTTTTTGAGCCCACAATAATCAGTTTGTATTATTATTCTTTGATATTTTATCATATACATGTATTGAGGTAGACTCGTGTGAACCAGTTGCGTAGAGGGGGCTAGTCAGGAAGGTTGTGAGAATAAATGAAGAAATTATTGCAGAAAGAATGAGAGCTGAGCGTCTGAGAATAAATAAACACACTCAGTACGTATAATAGCAACAGCGGTCCTGATAGCCCATACTTTAACTGTGGTAAAACTTTGTTAATGCGTTTGGGGCTTTATAGGAATATAATATATATATATATATATATATATATATATATATATTCGCCATTGCCATTTCCTGTGGGTCCCATGCCTCCTCCTAGCACAGTATAACACTATTGGAAAGACACTCTCCGGAAAGACAATATTAGGTATGGCACTATCTGGAAAGAGAGAAAGATGCCAACGAGACGATTTTATCATTGCAGATTGCTAACTACGGAATAGGAGGTCAGTACGGCTTGCATTGGGACTTCCTGGCTGAGGTATGTTTACCAGTTATATTGTTTTATGATGTTACTTTCAGCCCATCGCACCCTGGACTAGAGGTTACTATTTAACCAAACGATCAATACTTGGATACTACAGAACTGAAAGCACCACGAGCCTAGACGAAAGTTAGTCATTCATACAAGACTGCTGACATACAGTTGGCTATCTAGGGCGTCTTCAACATCCATGAAATACACGAACATACTAACTTGGCATGAACGAACTTTGTGTTCAACGGGTCACAAACTGGGCTCGCATGCATGCATACATACCTACATACATACATACATACATGCATACATACATACATACATGCATGCATACATACATACATACATACATACATACATACATACATACATACATACATACATACATACATACATACATACATACATACATACATACATACATACATACATACATACATACATACATACATACATACATACATACATACATACATACATACATACATACATACATACATACATACATACATACATACATACATACATACATACATACATACATACATACATACATACATACATACATACATACATACATACATACATACATACATACATACATACATACATACATACATACATACATACATACATACATACATACATACATACAATACATACATACATACATACATACATACATACATACATACATACATACATACATACATACATACATACATACATACATACATACATACATACATACATACATACATACATACATACATACATACATACATACATACATGCATGCATGCATGCATGCATGCATGCATGCATGCATGCATACATACATACATACATACATGCATGCATGCATGCATGCATGCATGCATGCATGCATGCATGCATGCATGCATGCATGCATGCATGCATGCATGCATGCATGCATGCATGCATGCATACATACATACATACATACATACATACATACATACATACATACATACATACATACATACATACATACATACATACATACAGGTAGGCAGGCAGGCAGGCAGGCAGGCAGGCAGGCAGGCAGGCAGGCAGGCAGGCAGGCAGGCAGGCAGGCAGGCAGGCAGGCAGGCAGGCAGGCAGGCAGGCAGGCAGGCAGACAGACAGACAGACAGACAGACAGACAGACAGACAGACAGACAGACAGACAGACAGACAGACAGACAGACAGACAGACAGACAGACAGACAGACAGACATGGCATGGGGGACACGAGGTCCTTGAACTGGACCCATGTCCAGTAATTTACAGAATAAACTTTTTTACTGAACTCAGTAAAGCAAATTTAGCACATGTAACAGTCAAATATGAGTGCCCACTTGGCTAGTAGACTTTTGCGAAGTCAGTTTTGAGCATGCATTTTCTTGTCTTGTCTGCATCTATTTTTTAAATTCGTTATCGCTGCGTTGTTCTTCTACCCACTTTACATTATAGAGTTTATCTGCAAATCCTTCGTTCTTAAACCAACACTTGTTATTATACCATTGTTAGTTATTTGTGATGATTATCTTCACAGCGCTCCAGGCAGATTCATATGTGCTCGGGTCTCCTACAAAGCTCTCGAAGCATAGAACGACTGATGACGCCTGTTTTGTGTTGATTAATTAAACGTCTTGTCGTACTGTTTCTTGCAGCTTCAGATTTCACTCCCCCCCCCCCCCCCCCCCCGCCTCCCACTCCCCAGCCTCCCCCCCCCTTCCCCCCCCCCCCCCCCACACTTTTGTCTATCAATAGGGAAAAGACAGGGAAACAGATGCATGCCTTCTGCTGTATTCAGCTTCACCACACGTGCTGTGCATGGCATTGTTAACGTCGCTTCTGTCCATTACAAGGCTAGCCAGCATAGCAACCGCAGTGTCTGTAAGATAACCTGCACGCTCGTTGCCTCGAACACTCTCATATTCCAGCACAAATATGACGTTTGGGCCAGCTTTTTGCGAATTGCCTAGTGACCTAATCCACTCCAGCCTGATGAATCCAGCCTGTATTTTCTAAAACAGTTTCAATAAGTCACTAAGCACGCAGGCGTATGTGAACTCTTGCGTACCCCGCCATTCTAGTTACCTTGTTGCAACTATTGTTTCCATTGTAAGGCTGCTTATTGTAACAGCAAAGGCGTCATTCATCTCCTGAATTGTTGTTCCTTCTTGAGCGCACTTTGAATGCCCACAATTACTTATCCCTAGTCTACACCACAGTATTACCTTCGTCTGTGTTTTCGCTCATAGTTCTGACTACCGTTCCTTCTATGCTAGGAATCTGGTCCCAGCAGCTTCTATCAACTGTGATATAAATTGTTATGTAAATATTTGAAGCAGCAGGCATGGATATCTACTCAGTTCAATGATAAAGTCAAGGATAAAGTCAAGGATAAAGTCAAGGATAAAGTCAATGATAAAGTCAATGATAAAGTCAATGATAAAGTCAATGATAAAGTCAATGATAAAGTCAATGATAAAGTCAGAAAAACGGCAGCACTGTTGGAAAGTGTCCTCAGCACGACCCATCCACGATTTCCTATGTTTAAGTCTATTCTTCTTCTGATTGTAGCTATTCTTGCTTTGAAACAACGTCGTTCCCATGAGGCATTAGCCCTATATGCCCTGAAGGTGTGAAATAGGGTCCTTTACTTTTACTTGTACTTTTACTTTTACTTTTACCTTTACTTACAGGAGGCACTGAAAGAAGAAGTTCGCAATCACGAAGCTTCTCTGTATGGCGGGGATAGGCTGGCGACGTTTCTCATTTATGTAGGTAACATTTTCTTATTTATGTAAGTATAACGTTTCTTTTTTTATGTAAGTATAACGTTTCTTTTTTATGTAAGTAGAACGTTTCCTATTTATGTAAGTATAACGTTTCTTTTTTATGTAAGTAGAACGTTTCCTATTTATGTAAGTATAACGTTTCTTATTTATGTAAGTAGAACGTTTCCTATTTATGTAAGTAGAACGTTTCCTATTTATAAAAGTAAAACGTTTCCTATTTATGTAAGTAGAACGTTTCCTATTTATGTGAGTAGAACGTTTCCTATTTATGTAAGTAGAACGTTTCCTATTTATGTAAGTAGAAAGTTACCTATTTATGTAAGTCGAACGTTTCCTATTTATGTAAGTAGAACGTTTCCTATTTATGTAAGTAGAACGTTTCCTATTTATGTAAGTAGAACGTTTCCTATTTATGTAAGTAGAACGTTTCCTATTTATGTAAGTAGAACGTTCAATATTTATGTAAGTAGAACGTTTCCTATTTATGTAAGTAGAACGTTTCCTATTTATGTAAGTAGAACGTTTCCTATTTATGTAAGTAGAACGTTTTCAATTACTGTAAGTAGAACGTTTCCTATTTATGTAAGTAGCACGTTTCCTATTTATGTAAGTAGAACGTTTCCTATTTATGTAAGTAGAACATTTCCTATTTATGTAAGTAGAACGTTTCCTATTTATGTAAGTAGAACGTTTTCTATTTATGTAAGTTGAACGTTTCCTATTTATGTAAGTAGAACGTTTTCTATTTATGTAAGTAGAACGTTTAGTATTTATGTAAATCGAACGTTTCCTATTTATGTAGGTAGAACATTTCTTTTGTATGTATGTAGAACGTTTTTTTTTTTTTTATTTAAGTAGAACTTTTTTTGTTGTTGTAAGTATAACTTGTCTTATTTATGTAAGTATAACCTTTCTTACTTATGTAAGTAGAACGTTTCCTATTTATGCAAGTAGAACATTTCTTTTTTGTGTATGTAGAACGTTTTTTACGTTTTTTATTTATGTAAGTAGAACGTTTTTTATTGTTGTAAGTATAACTTGTGTTATTTATGTAAGTATAACTTTTCTTACGGATGTAAGTATAACTTTTCCTATTTATGTAATTATAACTATGTGAATGGAAAATTATTCAAAATGGAAATTCTTCAGTATTATTATTCGCTATTTTTTTTTAATGGGGAGGGGGGCAGTTAGAAGGGGGGAGGGGGGAGGAAACAAATGTTTTTTTAAGACTTTATAAAATCAGTACGCAGGCACCGCCAACTTCCTTAATTCTCCTTTCGGCAAGTTAGCTGAAGAAAAGGGAGTTGCCTAGTCTCAAGGCATAGTGTCCGCCTCGTGTGCTAGAGGTTCCTGTTCAGTCCCCGGTAAGGGCTGGGATTATTTTTTACGTGGATTTGGACTGCTAGTAATTTCTCTGGGTTGTGAGATCGGACGCCCAATCCGCAATCCTGTGCACATAAAAAAAATCTCTTGTCAGTTGGAAATCGAAAATAATAGCCTAACGGCTCTGAGAGGGCAAAATTTGGAGTTAAAAATCTACCCAAAGTATTTCAGGATTCTAGCAGGTGCTACAGAGCCTGTGCACTGTGCTAAGCTTCTGCGGTCTCAGACTTGAGTTAGAGGAAGAACGTAGCACTTAGTGGTTACTACCTGTGTGCCATGATGTTCAAACAAACAGCTGAAAAACTTAGCCTTAACGATTGCCGGACTAGTAAGTAAGTAAGTAATGTTGATCCCACCAGGACATCACACAGTGCGATAAACACCCGGTGACACAAAGTGCCGGATCACCCGTGGAGATGTCTCGGAAACCAAATTCAACCATCAGGTTATATTGCGGCCCCTGGCAACAGCTAGTATGATGCTTCAACAACAACAACAACAACAACAACAACAACAACAACAACAACAAAAACGAATAATTGCATACTACAAGGGGAATCACCGGGATTAGTAGATGATAATCAGGGACTCTCGGGAATTAAATTGCCTACCACTGCCATCCCTACAGGTCTACTGGTGATAACGGACATAAACTTTTTTATTGCTTTTCATAGGGCTACTTTTATATACGTGATATTCGTGTTGTAATCTTTACGACACGCCTTCATTTATCTATATATATATATATATATATATATATATATATATATATATAATAGGTTGTGTCCTTAAATGTATGGTCCGTGTGTATGTGCACGAAAGTGCGTGCGTGCGTATGTGGGTTCGGGCATGTGTGTGTGGGTGAGTGTGTGTGTTGGTGTCTGCGTGCGTGGGTGCGCGTGGTGTGTGTGGGGGCGTGTGTGGTGTATGTGTGTGCGTGCCTGCCAGGCTATACCTGTGCACTTGTGTGTCAGGCTGGGTGACTGAATCGAGTATTCGTGTTGTCTGCGGGAGTTGCCTCAGTTTCAAGATTCCAGCTTGATGGGTTCTGTGATGTGAGGTATTAGTGATATCTCGAGGTCCTGTGACAGGTCCCAGATGGGAGTTCTGGATTGTTCTTCACAAGACACTGGGCATCGGCCTAGATGTCCAATAGTGACCTCATCTGTAATGTCTTGGGAGTTGTCAGAGTGACCGTCACGTTAATCACGGAGGTGGATCTGCGCGATGGGTACATATATAGCGTGTAGCAGCCACTAGAACATAGTTGTGGTAGTAGTCCTTCAGAGAAACGTCTTGAATTTTTACATGGGCAGAAGGGAGAATTAATGTAGTATTGTATATTTATCGTGTATCGTGATGCAAGCCATGTTAGTATGTCTGTATCTGAATACAGTGTGTAGTCTTTCTTTGTAGAGTTGTCTGTTACTTTTGGATGGGAGCTGCGGCTCGTGACTACTGTCACTATTACACTAACCCTATACAGCTTGACAAGTGTGTGAGTGTGTCTCCCTGGTCTAGTACAAGTTTTTAGGGAGCCTGGACACGTAGGCATAATTCAATTACATTAGAATTTGAAGATAAAAACCGACATCGTTGCACTCAAGGCATTTTCACAAATGCTCAGTGAAGTTTCTAGCAGCCAGCAAAAAAGTCCTTTACAAATAGTGACAGTTATAACACTATATGTTTCTTTTCCTTTTCCTCAAGCGTTGAGTATCTGTCAGATTCTCTGGTCATATCCTTTTGCTCCATTCTTTCCAAATCGTGATCTATAAGAGCCACGTCCTAAGAATGAGCCGATATTTTGTACTTGTCTTAGTTTGTATTTCATCTAAAAGCTATTTGTTCATTTTCAGTCTTTCCCGGATATGTATATATATATATATATATATATATATATATATATATATATATATATATATATATATATATATATATATATATTAGGGTTGTACCGAATATACTCTTTTCTTCGCGCATGTTTCCCTGCTTGAGTTATATTTTCGGAACTTCTTACGTTTTCCACCCAAACACACCGTAATTGGCCTTTCATTAATGCTCGTTGACCTTTCACACGTGCTGGTCTATTTACAGGGGTATCACGATGTGTTGTATTCAATGCTATGAGCTTTATATAGTGAGCGTGTGTTTTACTCGAATATTATAACCTTGTCGGACTTTAAATACGACATGAATTTAGTAAAACTTTCAGAGTTGACCATCAAGAGGGAGAGCAGCTTTGCTTTTCTGCAGCAAGACGGCTTTTTAGGCGTACAATGTTAAGAAATATGAAACCACACGACGTAGGGTATAGTATAAAACGCAGAATATCACCGGTGATAGCATCGAAGGGAAACGCACCGTGACACCAAACGTAGTCTGCACTTTTTCGTGGGACGTAGGCTGTGGGGTAGGAAAGTTGGGGTTATTGCCAGTTCTAGATGTTCTAGGGTCGTTAAAAATGCTCACTTCGTGTAATATAGAAAACGTGATATAGCGATAAGAGCATCGAACACAGCACAGCGTGACATCCCTGTAACAGACTAACGCACGTGAAAGGTCAGCGAACATAAATGAAAAGCCAATCACGGCGTGCTTGGGGCGAAAAAGGTTAGAAGAACCATATTTCCAACTTTTTACTTTCCTTGATTATTCCTATTTCGGGCTTATCTCCCTGGATCTTACCCAATAAGTTTTGGACATTAATTGATTGATCAATTTGTCTGCTTCTGGCTGCTACCTAAAGGTTTACTATATCATCGTAAAGAAAAATGGAATCGCAACTCCGGCAGCCGACTAGTCATATCTCGAGTACTCCTTTCAATCTAAAAAGAAGTCATAATTAGACCGCTCATAATAACTACAATAGAAACAAATAACAGCAGAAGGCATTGTGCCAGAGATAAGGTGTAGGGGCAAGAAGGTAGGCACAATATTTAAGTGACTCTTTAGGTGCGAAAGTGTATGAGGCGGCGAAATACAGAGTTTGTTTCAGGCGGAACCTGATGAGAGCGATGTTTTGCTAAAGACCTGCTATATGATGAACATGATAACAGCTCCGCAAGTCAGGTGTTACCTGCAGTTCTAGGCTGGTGTGGATATGAGGCGTTTAAGACATACGTGCGATCCGTATATTTGGTTCTCTTTTGCCATCGCTCCTTGTTATATCCCCAAGAATGAATTTTTGACAGTGTAATTTTCCAAATAATAACAAATAATAGTTTTTTTTTTTTTTTCAAAGCTTAATTCTGCAGGAGTTTCAAGGAAAGACAGAATACGAAATCAAGAAACTAGACGAATGCTAGGAATAAAGTCATTATTAGGGGTTATCAAGAAACTAAAAATGAAGTGGTTTGGACACCTAACAAGAATTATCTATCAAAGCGAGCCACACTGAAATGTTACAACGGGTATAGAGCGAGCGGAAGACCCCAGAAAACTTTACATAAATAAACATCAATCCTAATAATGCTCTTCACAGAGCTTATCCACGAACGTTACATCTCCCCCCGAAACTTTACTGATCTACAAGGTGGAAGAGAAGAAGAAAAAGAAGAATGTCTTCGAAAGACAATGTCTCCATCCTCCTGACACGCAGCTTATCTCTGCAAATTAAGTAAGGTAAAGAAGGTAAAGGACCCTTTTCAACACCTTCAGGCGTATTGGGCATGTAGGGCTAGACCTATATTTTATAGGCAATCGGCACTCGGTAGGTGACGTGGTCAACATTACTCCGGGTGCCTTTACTTCCAAGGACTTTACCTGTTACCCATCTGAGTCTGGGTCGGCCTGGAAGCCAATGTCATATTTTTTTAGAGACCATCTCTGTCATGACCTGAAAAGACGGCCTTTTAGATCCGCAGGCCCGGCAAGGCTAACCCTATCAAAAAATGCCTGCAGACGTCGGATGTGTCGGCCGAAAGTCACAGACAGATATCACAACCATGCTGTAAACGAGCAAACCGCACTTACATCTTCGGATCAATGCAGAAGTTGAGGGAAAAGATCCGCAGTAGAGCATTTGGTCGCTATACCACGACGGCTCCCATCTCTGGAAAATAATTCCCAAATATTGAATCTGAAATTTCCAACATTTATAGTTTTACTTTGTCGTGGATACTTTATTTCAAGTTACCCACCAGGACATCACATAAGTCAAGATTCTACTCCACTTTCATCTTTTATATCAGATAGTATTTAAGAATTTTGCCGTAATGGCCAACTAATCCTAAATATTTCACTTCAAAAGTTGGGTCTTTTTCTTTTTTTCAACAACTCTTTTTTTTTTTTCCCAAGCTCGTCAAAACATGCATTTCTTCTTTCTTTCTTTCTTTCTTTCTGTTTAAATGCGATCTATTATTTTGCATATAATCATCTGCAGTGCTTCACTCGACCGTCTAGTCACTTGCTAATTGTCTAAGCATAGTGCGATGTTCTTTGTTAGCCTCTATTTTTTTTTTTTTTTATGGCAAAAAGATTTTTTAATATATATTATTATCTTGTCGACTCTTGGTACTTCACCTTTTCACTTGCTCCATAGACTTTGCAAAGTCTGCCAGTTTTCCAACAGTAACACTTATCGTGTCTGACGTCTATAGAGTTTCATCTACATATTTTTGAAAATATTCATTGGAAAATATTTAAATATCTTTACAAACAATTAGATGTATAAATTATTGCACAGCAAACGTTTAGTCCTATAGAAGAAAAAAACATTATTTGGGTGCATGATATTGGGCATTAGTAAACTCTACGCAATAACACTGTTGGTGATTAAAAATATGCCATATGCACTGATCACCATGTCACGGTATTGGCAGGTCGGTGCAGTGATATTCATGTCACAATACTGGTAGATAGGTGCACTGATCACCATGTCACAGTATTGGCAGGTCGGTGCGGTGATATTCATGTCACAGTATTGGCAGATAGGTGCACTGATCACTATGCCATGGTATTGGCAGGTAGGTGCACTAATCACCATACCACAGTATTGACATGTAGTTGCACTAATCATCATGTCACAGTATTGGCAGATAGGTGCACTGATCACTATGCCATGGTATTGGCAGGTAGGTGCACTTATCACCATACCACAGTATTGACATGTAGTTGCACTAATCATCATGTCACAGTATTGGCAGATAGGTGCACTGATCACTATGCCATGGTATTGGCAGGTAGGTGCACTAATCACCATACCACAGTATTGACATGTAGTTGCACTAATCATCATGTCACAGTATTGGCACGTAGGTGCACTAATCATCATGTCACGGTATTGGCACGTAGGTGCACTAATCATCATGTCACAGTATTGGCACGTAGGTGCACTAATCATCATGTCACGGTATTGGCACGCAGGTGCACTAATCATCATGTCACGGTATTGGCACGCAGGTGCACTAATCATCATGTCACGGTATTGGCACGTAGGTGCACTAATCATCATGTCACGGTATTGACAGGTAGTTGCACTAATCACCATGGCACAGTATTAGTAGATTTGTGCACTGATTAACATGCCACAGTATTGGTACGAGGTGCGTCTGATCACTATACAGTGTAAACTCCAACGAGGTTTTCAAAAGTAAACACATTTATTGTAACAACATTCTAACTTGAAAATGTTGTGTTTCGTTTGCACACGATTATTCGTAAAGTAGTCCTCCTGTGGGACGCAATTTTTCGTGTTTTGTTGTTGTTGTTGTTGTTGTAATTCCACCCTGGATGTTGCCAGGGGCCCTAATATATAACCTTACAGTTTAACTGGGCTTCTAGGACCTCTCCACGGATGATCCTCAACCGCACGGTGGCACTTTCTGTCTGTCCCCGTGTGTTTATAGCCTTTGTGATGTCCTGGTGGGGTTAGATTTACTTACTGCTTACTTGCACACGATTTCAGTTGACAGACGTTGAGAGAGGCGGCTCAACTGTCTTCAATAAACTTGGCCTTGCCGTAAGCCCAGTCAAGGTAAGCAACCCAGTTCTTAAAGACGTTTCCTTTGTTTAGACTCATTTTAAGCCAGTTGTGAATCTTTAATACAATACTAGATTCGTGTTTTAGACCATTCGGCGATCAGCATCTATCACAGATTCGAGGAACCGACAGGCTGCGTACAATTTAGCTAGATCTGTAAAAAACGGACATGCACGCATTACACAGGTTCTGAGACCGGATCAAAGTTCAAAAGTGGACGAACAGAAAGAACTTTTCACTAGAAATTACAGTTAGTGAACGCTAAGATACTCTAAAAACCATAAATCATGTATGTCACACAACAAACCTCATGAACTATTTATTACATAAACCAAAGCTCATGGACAATATATTTCATACAGCAAAGCTCATTGACTACACAGCTCATAGACCGTATATTTCGTACAATATATTTCTTATACATGTTATCAAACTACATAGAACGAATGAATGAATCAATCAATCAATAATCGACATCACTGCACTGGGGACATTACCACACGTGCTCCGTCTCCTTCCTCATTAGCCAAAGAAGATTCCACCTTACTATGTCTTCTCCGACTTATAAGGAAGTCATTAAGCTCAGTTCACGCACTCCGTTGCTCTAGCCATAGTTCTTTTTACACACTGCCTAGAAATAAACATAGACGAACATGGCCGAGAAAAAAATATGGAACTTGGAGGTGAAAACTATGGATTCTGAAAGAAAAATATCCCCCCCCCCGCCCCCCCCCCCCCCCCCCGCCCAAAAAAACTGTTTTTAAAAAATCTTTTTAATTAAGAAAAGAAATAAAACTAACAAAAATTTAAAAATAACTTTTAACAGAGATTTTAAGTGAGACACTAAATAATCAGGGCTTGTGCTTTGCGAAATACTCGTGCACCAGAACCTGATAACGTGAAGCATAATGAGATCATCAACATGTAATAATATATTTAAACTGGTGGGGAGATATTGGAGTTAAAAGAAGTGTGTACCACAAGAAAGAAAGAACTACTAAGATGTGAAATACACGCAAACTGCACAGTTCTTAAGCAAAGGAATAGATATAGCGATCTTGGAACTGTCATAGCATCTGATACAGGATGCCTCGCAAAATTTAGAACAATAATAACCAAGACAAAGATGATCTTTAGCATGATGCTAAAGATTCCTAAAGTAAGAAGATGTCAGCTGCATTGAGAAAAAAGGAGTGTTGAAGTGCAATGAAGAACCTGATTTGTTTTATGCATGTGAGACAATGAGCAGACAGGCCGAACAACATTTACTTGTGGCAGAGATGTGGATTTTAAGAAAATTGCATAGCATATCATGGAGGGGTAGAAAAACAAATTATCAGTCCTCATCGAGACAGATAAAGGTCGGAAACTTATCAAAACAATTAGAAGTAGACAGTCAGGTTACATATTATGAGAAGAAATTGACTTGAGAAACTTGGTGACATTTGGCAAGATTGTTGGAAAGAGAGCAAGAGGAAGGCAAAGGCATATATACCGGAATGACCTAGCCACAAGAATAGGGCGAGACAAGAACATTGACATGATCCATGATTCTGGTAACCGTGTGAGGTGGCAAAACATGACAGCCTGTGCTTACATGATGATGATGATTATCAGAAATGTATGGATAGAAGGAACATTACTATCCGACGTAAACGCTTGGAGTGGCTTGGAAGGGCATCAGTAAGATATTTAGCTAACTTTCTTCTTCAACTCTAATTGTTATGTCCAAGTTGCTGTGCTCTGTGCTACGGAATATTATAAATGTGGAAGACAAACTTTGAGGCTGGTAGCTGAGATGCGATTACTTTAGACCAACGGTTCCCAGATAGTAAAAACCTGCTAACATCTTTCATGTTCGAAAGTCTGACGTTTTAGATGTTATTCTGAAGAACTTATTTTTATTATTATTACTGACAAGGATTGCATTGTACAATTTAGGGTTTATTTTTCTTTGAATACAATAAAATCACAAACCTCATACATTTCTCACGTGGGCCGCCAAAGGGGAAAGACTGACAGAGACCTCCAAGACAAAAACAATGATTCCATTAAACATTCTAATGAATGTAGAATATTATAAGCAAATATATGTCGGCAAAATCAAGAAGAGAGAGAAAGTCGCCAGCGACATATTAGGAACAACTGTAGTCACATAACCGGTAAATTATTTCTTGGAACATCTAAGAATCAAATAGTTCGCTTGCCTGGTAAGAATGAAATGAAATCAGCCAGCAACTGGAGTGTACTACATGAGAACAGCAGGCTGCATGACAAGAGGGCGACAATAAAAGAGATCGATTTAAAAAAGACACTAGACAGACGCAAGAAGACATTTGACACAAGCTTTGCAACTAGCACATGACATGAAACTAAATACGACTCCTCTAAGCTACGAGGAAGAAGAAGAAGAAAAAGAAGAAAAAGAAGAAGAAGAAGAAGAAGAAGAAGAAGAAGAAGAAGAAGAAGAAGAAGAAGAAGAAGAAGAAGAAGAAGAAGAAGAAGAAGAAGAAGAAGAAGAAGAAGAAGAAGAAGAAGAAGAAGAAGAAGAAGAAGAAGAAGAAGAAGAAGAAGAAGAAGAAAGAGAAGAAGAAAAAGAAGAAGAAGAAGAAGAAGGAGAAAGAGAAGAAGAAAAAAAAGAAGAAGAAGGAGAAAGAGAAGAAGAAAAAGAAGAAGAAGAAGAAGAAGAAGAAGAAGAAGAAGAAGAAGAAGAAGAAGAAGAAGAAGAAGAAGAAGAAGAAGAAGAAGAAGAAGAAGAAGAAGAAGAAGAAGAAGAAGAAGAAAGAAGAAGAAGAAGAAGAAGAAGAAGAAGAAGAAAGAAGAAGAAGAAGAAGAAGAAGAAGAAGAAGAAGAAGAAGAAGAAGAAGAAGAAGAAAGAGAAGAAGAAAAAGAAGAAGAAGAAGAAGGAGAAAGAGAAGAAGAAAAAGAAGAAGAAGAAGAGGAAGAAGGAGAAAGAGAAGAAGAAGAAGAAGAAGAAGAAGAAGAAGAAGAAGAAGAAGAAGAAGAAGAAGAAGAAGAAGAAGAAGAAGAAGAAGAAGAAGAAGAAGAAGAAGAAGAAGAAGAAGAAGAAGAAGAAGAAGAAGAAGAAGAAGAAGAAGAAGAAGAAGAAGAAGAAGAAGAAGAAGAAGAAGAGAAGAAGAAGAAGAAGAAGAAGAAGAAGAAGAAGAAAGAGGAGAAAGAGAAAAGAAGAAGAAGAAGAAGAAGAGAGAAGGAGAAGAAGAAAAGAAGAAGAAAGAAGAAGAAGAAGAAGAAGAAGAAGAAGAAGAAGAAGAAGAAGAAGAAGAAGAAGAAGAAGAAGAAGAAGAAGAAGAAGAAGAAGAAGAAGAAGAAGAAGAAGAAGAAGAAGAAGAAGAAGAAGAAGAAGAAAAAGAAGAAGAAGAAGAAGAAGAAGGAGAAAGAGAAGAAGAAAAAGAAGAAGAAGAAGAAGAAGAAGAAGAAGAAGAAGAAGAAGAAGAAGAAGAAGAAGAAGAAGAAGAAGAAGAAGAAGAAGAAGAAGAAGAAGAAGAAGAAGAAGAAGAAGAAGAAGAAGAAGAAGAAGAAGAAGAAAAGAGAGAGAAGAAGAAGAAGAAGAAGAAGAAGAAGAAGAAGAAGAAGAAGAAGAAGAAGAAGAAGAAGAAGAAGAAGAAGAAGAAGAAGAAGAAGGAGAAAGAGAAGAAGAAAAAGAAGAAGAAGAAGACCTTACGTCTTCCGAACACAGTAACCAACGAAGATCTAAGTTTCTGATGATACCAGCAGAAGTTTGTTTTTTGCTCTCTGTAGCATCACTTGTGATTTGTATTCCAGAAAATGGCACTATTTTGGTACAATGCCAAGCCGTCAGGAGAGTTAGATTACACGACACAACATGCTGGATGTCCGGTTGTCGTAGGCCACAAATGGGGTAAGCACGGCTGTTCAGGTAAAAGCTTTTGTAGCTGGTAATCAAAAAGCAAAGTTTGAACATAACTATTTAAAACACTATTTGAAACACTATTTGAAACACTTATTGAAACACTATTTGAAACACTATTTAAAACACTCCCTATCAAAAGCACATCATGGACTCATACCTATGAAGCTGGCCCCTCTCAGGGACAGCAGCGTATGAAAAAATGGTGCTAGTCTGTCGTCTCCAGTTTAACGTACTCCGCAGCTCAGCTGTGGAACTATCTGCCACAGCAAATCAAACATACCAATAGTCCCTATACATAACAGTCAGAAACTGTTCGAATACTACGTGAGCACAGATTGCATGCCCCTTAGAAGATAAACAATATTTTAGAAATGGCACACGTCTTTCCTAGATCTATTGAAATTACTATGGTTTAGGGTAGTTAGAAATGGTCACATTCCAGTGCTTGTACTGAATATCCTTGATGCTTTCAATAATGTTTACTATTATGTGATGTATGAATGAAGTGGTGTAAGAACGGAGGGAGGCCACGAAGGACAGAACGTTAGACGGGCCTGCCTGCCCAATTCTTCAACCTCTAAAAATAAAGTTTGTTTGTTCGTTGGTTCACCCTGTCTATCTCTCTTCTCTGTCAGTCTTTTGTACATTACGCCTAGTCTCTTTTTCAGCCAAGTCATCGTTAAGTGATTTAAAGGTCGTACAATAACCTGCCCCCACAAATGAAGATTACCTTAGGAATTACACTTTTTCTTCGTCGGCTCACGTCCTCCCTATCTGTCCTGACTGTTTGTGTAACTACTAAGCCTTTAAAAACAGTGTCAGTTGAAACCTTGAGTACGATGCAGCAACTGTTTTGGACAGCACGGGGCGAGGTATTTTGGATGTCCTTATCTTCAACATTGCCAGGAAATTCTCAAGATAGCAATTACTGAGAGGGTACCATGCAAAGAAGCCAGAAGAAGATGCAAATAATCCGAATACTTCACCCCAGTGGAGAAATCCAGGATGCAGAATCAGATCAGAAAGTTAGAAGAAGAGGTCAGGATATTAAAGGCAAATAAGCTGACTCCAAAGAAAAACATGCAAGAAATTAATGACCAAGCAAGACAGATACTTGCAGAGATGAAGGAGATGAGAGAGATATTGGACTACAATATAAAGACACTTAATGACATAAAAGCAGAAACAATAGCAGCACTACAGGAATTGCAGAAAAGCAGGATGAAAGCCGTGAAGACAACAGCTCCAAGCAACCCCAAATAGATCAAGACAACAGCGAAAAGCCAATAGACGATAAACCGAAAGAAACATCTATGTAAGAGTCTACTGGCAAGCAGCAAGAACTTAAAGATAGACACAATGCAGAAATGAACAGAAGGTTTCCACCAGGAAGCATCAAAACCAAAGAAGACCGAAGAAAACAAGCTCAATACGGAAAGAGACTGAGGGAAGAGATGAGAGAGACGACAGAGAAGACAACATCCACAGACACCTTCCAGTCAGACCCAAAACGTCAAACAACACAGAGGACGCCAGACAAAGATGAGAAGGAGAAAGATGGAAAGACAAAATTACATAAAAGTCCTTGTAAGGACTGAGCATTATTACATCATAGAAGCCAAGACGGAGCGGAAAAACGTGACAGGGGGGATAAAAGCCAGAAACAACCAACTAGAAAATAGGAATCACAAGACGACGAGAGGATAGGACAGTACCAAAATGCAATATTCAGATGTATCCTACCATAATCAGGAACGAACAAAGGAGACACAATTAAGAAATAGAAGACCCTTGCCTCCGGATACAACAACATCAGGTATAAAACAACTCTATACAAGGAAGAAACAACATCAGTTAAACCGTTTAGAACAACATAACATAATGGAACCGAAGGAAACCATATTCAAACAAACCAGACTCAATAAAGATCGCAAATATAGGCATCAGCTACATAGCTGATAATGTCCGAACGTGATCAAATTATCCTTTTCTTTTACAAGAAGCCAACCAGCCAGCAAACCTTGAGTACGGTCAACTGCTAATTTCTAATTGTCTTTCCCTATAACTTAGCAAGCTAGAGCCAGTTAGTAATCATGGCATTTGTTTGTATAAGCCGCTGACATTTTAACAGTCAACCCCGACCCCACCCCTCCCCCCCCTACCCAACTCCCGTTTATCCTCACCTGAAGGTTGGGTGGTCAACTACATGTCCACTATGGCTAAAGTTTAATTATCTGCTTTGTTCTCATTTTCTGTCGTGTTTCTTAATCTATTTTACTTTGTATCCAAACTAATATTAGTTGTCCAAAATATGTCTGATGGTTTCTATATTATTTATTTATTATGCTGTCATACTGTAATACATTTTATAATTATGTATCTAACATTGTCGCACTGTCACTGAAGGTTTCGAACTCTGCGCCTTTGGTCAACTACACCCGATTGCAGTGAACTCCTATTTAGCCGCCTTTTACGGCAAGACTTTTACAGAGAATGAGTCTATTTGTCTCCACCCCCTTAAAAAAGGAGCCCCAGATCCCTCAAAATGTGGACACGCCATTTTAAACTGTAAATGTGAATCTTGACAACTGTTAGTGTGAGATGTAGAAGTGATGTTCTTGCAGGGACGGATGTCTTGCAGTGTATCAGCATTGGATCTTCTCCGGTGGTTCCATGTGCTTTAAGTGGCCTTATGTGTGTAGTTTTCGATAATCTTTATTATAATGGAGGTTGTGTCAGTGTGCAATATTGCATAGTTTCGATAATCTGCATCACAGGTAAGGTCGTATCCTTGTCCATATATTAATGACTTTTAGAATATTCATCCCAGGAGAGACCATGGTCGCTCCTCCTGGACTGATATCTTCCCAGACTGGCCCATATAGAAGTGAAACAAAGACCTGGTCCTTCAATACATCAGCCCATCTGTGTCCCAAACACAGTGTTCTGTAAGACGTTTGTGCCTGCACAAACGCTTTGTGTTTAACAGTTCTCACTGGGTGTGGAACTTGATGATTTTTAGCTGAAACCGCTGAAGCATTTCCTTGATCTTTTGTCTTTGAAATCATCTTTTATAAATTGTTTTTAGTCGAATATTGCTAACCTTTCTTTTTATATTTTCAATGCGGGTGTTCGAGGCAACGAGCGCAATGGTAACCTGGCTGATACCAAGTGACTATGTGTGATCTGGAGATAGACCCGATCAATGTCACCAGGGCCATTTGAGATGCACTTCGCAAAAACGATTGCAGCAGCAAACACGACTCTGTATCCCTTTCAAGGCTGGCTGGTGTATACAGGACAGTATGAAGATTTCATTAAGGGGGAAAGACATTTAGTGACCCAAAACATAACTTACGCGATCAGTCGTTATTCACTTGCTAATATGGATATAGAAGCCAATTGGAGCAGGTTTTGGACTGAGCTTGAAAGTTGCTGATAAACAGTTGTAGGTCAATAGGATTATACGATAGTAACTATGGCCATATTCATTTCACCAGTATGGCCACTGCTAGAAAGGAAAGCATCAGGAAACTACCTTCGTCAAGATGCCAGAGGAATCATGAGTGGAAAATGGGTGTGCACAAAAGCACTGACTCATCCGTGATTCTGTTGATCGTAGTGTGAATTACGAGCCATCATGGCATATTTCTATCGGTGTGGCGATGACTGAGCACTTATGGATCTGACCGGGTTGCTTTGACAATTGTTCTCATTTACAGTTAATCATCCATTGAATAACTCGCATTGTTCAAACTCAGTAAAAATGGCATGTCTTGTAGACGATAATAATACATAGATTCATCATTTCTCGCCCCAGTGTCTAACAAATGGATGTGGAATTACGGCAACACATTCACCCGACGCTGCGGTCTGACACCCGACGCAACACAGCTGGACATAGAACTATACATGAGGAAAGGTTGGGTGTAACAGCAGCTCTGTGTAAACACTGCTCAGCTTTCACTGCTCATAACAGATGCTTATCTGGGTAACATAACATAAAAGATGATTATCTGGGTAACACAACAGGGTCAGATAACGTATATTAGATGCTTATATGGATAACATTACAGGGTAAAATAACAACAGGATAGCATATGACAGATGCCTATCTGGGTAAAATAATTGTGTAACATAATATATAACATATGTTTCTCTACGTAACATAACATATAACAGATGCTTATCTGGGTAGTATAAGAGGGTAACATAACAGGGTCACAAAACATATAACAGATTCTTAAAATTTAGAGACATATGGCCCAGAAATAGATCAGATGTTTTGTTAGAGATCACATCGTGAGAATTCTTGAGTTTTTCCTTTATTAAAACATTTTCGCACAAAAATGTATCGTTGTGTGTTTGTTTGTGGAGTTGTGTGTGTGACATTATTGTAGATACAGTATTTAGAACTTGGGTCTTCGTGTTGGTGGAGATGAACTGTTGCCATCGTACTCTGAAAGTGTCAGAGTTAGTCTAACATCGCGCCGGCATCTTGATTTGGTAGGGAAATCCCGAGAACATTGCTTAGTATAGAGGGGTTGGGGTTAGGCTTAGCAGTAGTCGCTTTTCATTTTACCCTAACTGGTACTTTTTGAATAGCCGACAACAAACAGTGGGAATCCACAGATCACGGAACAAAGTATTTCAGGTGGTGGATAGTTATGTAATTTGGCCTTTAATTTGCTGTGCATTTTTTTCTGTTCAGTTTTCAGTTTTGAGAGCTGTGCATTTTTATTGTGTGTTGTGGACTCTATATGCAGTCGGAGGATGCAGCTTTTGTGGGGGTGGGGGGGGGGTGATGGAGGTTACGACCAGTTCTAAATGTTTTGGGGTCGTTAAAAGCGCTCACATCGTGAAATATATAACACCGATATCGCAGGCAGCTGACAACAACAAATAAAAGGCAACGTAGTTCTAGATGTATACTGCTGAGTTCACGAATTGACAATCAGAACAATTTTACACTTTAGTAGATCTGGAGAGTGTCGGAACGCGGCAACTGGTGCTAATTTAAGGACATTCATGTCGACAGAACACAAGCTACTGGAGAAACGCCGCCCGAAGAAATGCGCAAAACCCTTGGCAACGCCTTGGAAGAAACACAGAAAGCCGGTAAACCCGGTCTTACCACCCTCTAAAGTATTGGACTGTCCCATGACGGCATTTGTGGTATGCTATAATGAAAGAATCGAATAAAGGGCACAAGCCTAAACCATAAAATAAAGGAAATGTAAAAAGTCAAACTCTTCTTAAAAAAAAAAAAAAATAATAATACGCACCTGAAGGTTGATCTTTGATCGCTGGACTAAGAATAGGTGACACTAAGTGGTTTTACTTCTATCCCGAACTTGGGCAACAGAGATGTTCAGCCTGATTTAGTAAAGAAAGCAATCATAGTTAAACACCTCAACAACATGTTCCTACAGAACAGCTGGACGAAGATCTACACAGATGGATCAGCAAAAGAAACAACGACGAATGATGGTGTAGGTTTTTACATTGAATGCCCAGATGCCACCACAGTGTCTCTGGCAGCCTCCACCGGACAAACTTGCTCCAACAACAGGGCAGAGTGTCGGTCTTATTGATGACAGCACCGTAAATGAGCACGTTCCAAGCCCTTGCAGACATGGCGATATTTCTCACAGATTCACTGCATTCCATTGAGTCTCTAGAGGCCAAAGTCGCAGATAGCAACAGTCTAACAAAAGAACTTGCTGAGATGTTTAAACAAAAACGGAAACGCACCTGCAGTGGATTCCATTTCATTATGGCATCACAGGCAATGAAAACGTTGACACTTTAGCCAAGGAAGGAAGTAGCAGACAACAATGCTAGCAGTCACTATCTTTTTTTTTTTTTTTTAGAAGTCAAAACCCTCATTAAGAGAAAATCTGAAACAGAATAGAGAACAGAAATATTTTATAACCATGAAGAAGATTTCCTCAGTCATCTGAACTGAACAGACCAAGTCAACATTTTTCGCTTACGCATTTGACACCGAAGATTTAACAAACACTCATAAAAATTAGATCTGAGCCAACCGGTTCTCTGCCACTGTCTTCTTTCTGGCAGGTCTCAATCCATGTCTTGCAGGTTTGTCCTCTCCTAGAGGAGCTGCAAAGCAACTTGTGGCCACGCCCTGTAGAACTGACCACTAAGCTTTAGGGAAACTTAGGAGACTTTGGGATGACATCCTAGTTTATGGTCCATGGTGGATTGAACGCGTGACCAGAGATCTCTGAAGAGACAAGAAGCAGTCATACAACTAAGTTACCACATAAACAAAACACCCTAGTCCTGTCACAATAATGAAATATCAATGTTACACATTACCAAGCATCGGTCAGAAAACTTGACCACAAAGATGCGAACGAAAAATGTTTACCATATAATTTAACCACTAAAAAATTTACTATTGTTGTCATTAACTCTTCATCATCATCATCACCAAGATTATTATCATGATGTGCCGATATACTAATGCAGGGCTCGTCGTCTAGTCTACTGTTCCGTTTTGCTCTAAGCAATCGTTTTCATGTCAGGGATATAACTGAAGCTGGCTCAATCAGGGCTGAACGTGGTGGAAATTTAAACGAGTGGTGCAGCACCTTTGGCCTCTCTCAACAACGTTGGTCTTAGTGTTTCTCTTAGACTTCTTCGTTTCCTCAATCCATCTGTTTCCCATTTCAGTTTCACTGTAGTGAGTGTCCTCGCCCGCTTAGGATCTGTCCAGTATTTTGTCACTGGCTTTGGCTTTCTCGGCATCTGTAGCATTAGGCGCTGCTAATTCGCTTAGTAATGCCAGGGTGCCGGGTTCGATCCCAGTTGCAGACGATTTGGATAAAGACGGTCTTGCGTTGGTTTCGACATTGGTGTCGAGAGTCTACCGCTCAGTAAGCAATGGCAAACTACTGAATGTACATTTGCCTAGAAATTCCCCAAACAGTGAAAAAAGCTGGGTTCGCTGGTTCTGCAACATCCTGTAAAGGACACACAACTAACTTGTGTTGCTTTTTAACTGCCCATGCATGCATTTGCACAGAGATATCTCTGATGTGTTCAACTTTCTTGAACACACCCATTCAATGGCATCTTTAGTTAGTTGCGTATCCTTTGTAGGATGTTACAGAACCAAATTCAGCATATTTTGTTTAACCGTTTGTAGTTTTTCTGGGCCAAGTTACGTTCAGTAGTTTGCCATTGCCTCTCAATACCACTGTGGACACCAATGTAAGGTGGTCTACTGCCAAATCTCCTGCAGCTTGGATAGAACCCAGCACCCTGGTATTACAAAGTGCGTTCGCAATTTCTAAGCAACCACATAATTTTGTTTAAAAGCTTTCTTCTTCTGTCTTCTAACCCTCAATGGAGCAACTGCTCTCAGCCAACGCATCCCAAGTCATTCTGTACTTTGCTATCGCAGCTCTCCTCGTGTCCTCCTCATCTTTCTAACTTCACTCTCTAGCTTCTGTCGGCTCTGTGGCTAAGTCGATGCGAACGCTTCGTAATGCCGAAATGCCGGGTTAGACCCCAGCTGCGGGTCATGCGCCTTGCGTTGGTTTCGACAGTAGTATCAAGAAAGCCGACCGTCCAGAGGCAATGGCAAACTACTAGACGTAAGTTAGCCTAGAAAATCCACACAACAGCCAGGGGCTGTTGGGGTTGGTTCTGCAACGTCCTGTAAAGCATACGCAACTAACCTAGCCTCTAGCTTCCTGCATTTAACTCCGTGAGTGGGACTGAAGAGAAATATGACAAGCCCACATCATCAAGCTGTTGTGTACGGGTCGGCTGAATTCTATTTCTGGTGTTAGCAGTTGCTGATTGCATAACCAAGTCTTTTGTCAGTAAAATATGAGAGGCGAAATAAGATATCCATGTTGCACACCTGTTTTTATATATTTATATATTTGTATGTGTGTTAGCTTTCCCCTATTAGGTTCTCGATATTTCATGTCTTTATATGTTGCTTTTACTAACTTGATAATTTTCATTTTCTATTGCATTGCATAGTGCCCCAATCATTTCCAGAGAGATTCCTATTAATTCCAGTTCCAATTCCAGTTGTCCAACAAAAATTCCAAATTTGATACTTTTTCAGCTGCCCGGAGGCCTGCTATATGAAGGAAGGTTCCTTTGCTATCTTATTTGGTTTCCTTTTATGTGTGGTGTGTAGTCACACCTGATATTCCGCTTCTTGGCTTCCTGAGTCCGGTGTGGTGCTTATGGTTTTTGGGTCTGGTATGGTTCAGTTCTCTTAGTGCTGATATCTGTGGGTTTCAGCTGATTGTTGCTGGTGCTTGGTTTACCTCGTGCTGATCGCTGCGCTGGTACCCTATTGCTGATTGGTTGCCGTTCTGTAAAGCCGCCGGGAAAAGCCAGACAAATACCAGGTCACAACGTCTAACTGACTGACTGACTTTCCACTCCACCAAGACATCACACAAGCGATAAACACCCGATGGCACAAAGTGGCACCATTAGGGTGAGGATCACCGTGGAGAGGTCCCAGAAACCGCGTTCACACAATAGACCATATTTATGGCCTGTCTATATTGCGGCCCCTGGTAAGAGCCAGGGTGGAGCTTCAAATGACCAAAAAATGTCATCCTAAAAAGGACGGTAGATGCTGAGGTTCTCTCAGGTGATAATCACAACGTCTCAAACAATGCTCCTTTTCAGGACAACCAGGGCCTTCACAATCTGTTGTTGTGATCAGCCAGTTTTTTTTCCCCCACAGAGTGTGGAGAAGTAGTGGAGGTAAGATAGGCTGCAAATGAGAGAGGTAATTCGCTCGAATGTGCCAGGAGATGTGATAGGTCGGAAGAATGAGAGCGACAGATCGTTGAGGGAGATGGCTTCTCGACGCCGGAACTTCTGGTGGGTTGAGGTCCTGTGGTCTGAAATAAGAATGAAGGCATTCT